TTGTTCAAGCATGCTGTTAGAAATGAAGCCATCTGTTTCCAGTGCTTTATCTACTCCTCTTCAAAGATCATTGAGCAAAAGTACAGGAAACTCCTGGAGCTGCTCGAAGAGTACAGAGAAGAAATGGTAGAAAACTCCTCTGAAAATTCTGCATCTTCGCAAATATTTTTCCAACTTTTGCAGTTAAGTCCTCGAGGAAAATTTCTCTGTACAAAAAAACTGATAAATCTAAAAAACCTAACTTTTTAGTTTTTGGGCTATAAAAGCAATAAAACCTTCTGAATCCAGGGTTTCACTCTTGCACAGAATTAAATTCTGTATGAATTCTCTTTGATATATAAACGAAATTCTCAATTGAAATCATTAATTAAAAAATTAATTAATTGAGTAATTAGTTAACTATTGAACTACAGACAAATTGCTTAAAATCAAAAAAAGAGACGGTAAGAGCTCATCGCAGTACGACAACTCAGCACCATTCAATATTTTGAGTGGAAAAAAAATGCCATCAGAGATTCAAATAGCAGGTTTTGTAGAGAATTCAATTCTCTATCGATTGAGCGTAAAGCGAACTCTTTGGACTACTGGGCTCACCCTCGAAAATGACGAACAAGAGTGACCTGCTTTTTCTGGACCATCCGTTAGTTCATCAATGATGTAGCCATTATGTTGATCGTTGTAATCTTCCGGTTATATGTTGAAGTAGAACTGTGAAGCAACATCAAAGGAATAAATGCACGTGTCAAATGTGTCGGAGTGGCACTTGAACGTATTCTGAGGGGTAATATGACTGTTCGATTCATCACTTTTAACTATCGCTTTCAATTAGCATTGTTTTGTCGTCGACCGTGTTTAATAGCGGGAAGACAGAATATTTTCGACGAAATAGTTTGGGTTCTTTCTTAGTTTCTGTTGTTATAACTGTCAGTTCTCTGAGTGGATATGCGTGGTGGTTCCATTCCTTGTCACTCTGCCGGCATCTTTTACTCGTTATTTAAGTGTCCATGTGACTATGATTAGGATTACACAACGCATGCGTATTTTCGAAGTGATCTTCAAAAGTCATTTTTGTATCATGGACAATAATTAATTGGAATGGGTTGATTGCTAGTAGGACTTTAGTGGTGAATGTAATGTGGTTTATGTAATTTAGGAATTTTAAAAGTAAAAATTATTTGATTATGTTGTGCCGAGCTTATCGCTGTTCGGCGAGTTAGTCACAAGTTAGCCAGCTGTTCTATACAGAGTAATGTATTGTATTAACTTATAATATTTAGTGTGTAGTAGGCCTAATGTTACAATAAGTAATAGACAATAGTGGCTACAACTGTTATAAAATCTTTGTCTACGCAGAAGAAGCTATACAGAATCAGTAATAATCTATGTTTAAAAGCTATTTACTTCATCCATTTTACATGTATCTCGGACAGTATGCAGTTTGATCACAGCCTGCACCAACCGTCAATAACAATCGTGCGATGAGCAAAGTTATCATTTTTGGTTATACAAAGAACATATTGTACATATTTGAGTTTTCTACATTTTTATTGGAATAAACTCGGGCAGATTAATCGAAAAATTCCATTTATCATCTTTTATCGTGGATTGATTACTACAGTTTTAATTAAAATTGAAATATTATGACAATAATCATGAAATAAGTATCAAATCAACTCAGTTTTCCTAACTCGTCAGTGAAGTTAATCTAACGGAGTATTTCTATGACTCCGTACATCCATCGTATATTATGTGCACTTCTCCTAAAGCGCCCGATAAACGGCAAACAAGTAATATTATTCTGCAGATCTGAATCTCTTCATCTTAGATTTTTAAGATCAGTCTCCAGAAACCGAACACCGAAACACTTATGATAGAAAACATCTAGCAGCTCAAATAAATACCAGATGTGAGACCAGTGTCATAAATTACGTATAAAAAGTATTCTTTTAAAAAACCTTTTCCAAAATCTTGTTTCACGAAAAACATTATAATCAATGTTCGATTATTTTCGCATATTTCTGTCTTAAGTAGCATATTTTCTACCTGTATTATATTTTTTTGTCAAAAACACCGAACACGGGCTCGTGACGCACTTTTTTGTTCATTTACGGGCATCTACTTAGTTACTGTATTTTTTCTTTTCTTTCTGTTTGTGATGTTGATGTAGAAAAAGACAGAGAAAATATCCTTTTTTATTGTACATTTTCTTTATATGCTTGAGTCGCAAGTGTTCTTAAAATGTAGTAATAGTATTATTAATTCGTATAAACAATGTTGACCAAATATGATGGGCCATTAGGAATAGATGTGATCTCTGGACGGTTTTCATGGTAGTTCTTTTTCTTGTTCTTCTTATTTTGGCCATTTGTTGTCTGGTTTATTTCTGTACGTGCAGTGATAGCGCGTGTGCTTTTAATAGCAACAGTGACTAGCTTAAAGCGTAGTAAGATGGATATCTACTAGCAGATTTTGAATATTTTTCAATAATTCTGTTACCAGTATGTAGCTAAAGTCGATGAAACGAGAATTTTTAATTTATTATTTGATATGAGTAAGTTCTTATCCGTAAAAAATACTCACTTTCATTTCTGTCCCTGACAGATACCATTTTACTAAGGAGGCTCCCTCAGGTGAACTTCGTTGCTCAGAAATCAATTTTGATGAAACCTACGGAAGTTAAGTTACTAATTATCATCTAAACGGTCTATGATAAAAACTTCAAATACATATAAAAGAATAAAAGGAAACCACAATCTAAATTTGATCCCAACAATTTTCGGATTTAAGTCTTAGCTTTAAAATAATAATATGAAACTGGTGCGATGCAACGTGTAAGAGAAGATTTTCGGTCCCAAAACCTTGTTTCGCGAAAAACGTTAAACAAGTTCGAAGAACATTGTAGCATTAGATATTAGCTTTCATATAGTAGTGCACTATATGGCTAAGGGGAGGGGGAAGTTCTTGCAACTCATATGTTAATGGCTGAATTAGGTTTTAATTTAACACCTGAATAATGTTCAATGTGACAGTACGTATACGACACTGTGCATTAACGTGTGACACTTATACTGATAATCTATTCCCTCTAAAACCATTCAACAACTAAGTTGGATATAACTGCAGTTATTCAGTGAGTTTTCCTCATAAACCTTGATTTAAGTCTTAGCTTTCGTCCATGCTTCATAAACGATACAGCGACGAACAGAAGTTGTAAGTCTCAAGATATTCTTTTATTCATCATAATATTTTATACACATACATGGTTCAAAAAACACGAACAGCAACAAAAAAAAGTATTACAAAACAAGCAAGTAAACTACAATCTGACTAGAAAATAAAAATGTGATTATATTGTAGCGAAAAGCTCTAGTACTTTATTCACGGTTGTATTTCCCATGCTGTATTATCAAGTCTAAGAAGTTGATATAACTCTAAGTTACGATCCTGCTTCTTTGCTGTTGAGCCATACCATAAGGGTACTAGGCCCCTGAATGTTTTGTTATGATAAATTTGAGAACCATCTTTCGTGCCAACAAAAACTATAAAGCGACTGTGGAGAGTATCGTTTGCCACGGCAAGTATTCGCCTTACATTATTCGGCCCACATTTTAAACGGACAAGCTTCTCGCTGTTTATCATAGCCCAATTAGGTAAACTACTGTTCGCCGTAAATACCAGTTACTAATACCGGCTAAAAGAATGATTCTTTAAAATTTTGTCGTAATTAGAGGATCCAAGGAATATATCTCAGGATAGCGGATGATGGAGAAGCTCGAAAGATGTCACACTGTACTGTGTGAGAGTATAGAGACGCCACACTCAACACGAAAACAACCTCCTAATAGATGCCGTGACAACGACTGAGACCTTGGTTTGTGTTGATTGTGGCGTCCTTTATACTCGGCACACAGTACACTGCGACATCTTTCGAGTTTCTGCGTCATTCGCTTAGAATGATATCCAATGATTATCTGAGGCATTTCTTGGATCCTTCTTTACGTCAACTTGCTTACGACTAATAGTTTACCTCATTTTCATCCATTCAATTTAAGTGGAAATTATATTTTCGACTAACAGGATTCATCGTAGAGGTAGTTCACACTCATTTTCGGATTCCCCATTGTAGAGTGTCTCTACGGTGAAAGTTTCATGACTATGACATCACATAGTACGTCTGTACTATGTGATGCCATACAGCACACTTATATAACCATATTTTATTCATCGCTTTGTGCGACTGCGGACATACAAACACACATACAGGCATTTTAACTCGATGAAACCCGTTTCTTACAGCCAATGAATAATTTCTACGCTGGTGAGCCACTGACTGACTTCATAGCTAGGCATGACACCTCCCCCGTTTGAGAAAGACTGGAACACCAATCGTAAAAGGTAAGAACAAAAAAAACTTAAAATTAGCATCCAGGTCATCCATCCAAGTCGTTCCCAAACTGACTGAATTTACCGTTGAGGACAATAGTGCTGCTGATCAGGCAGTTCTAGAGGTCTAGACAAATCTTGTGGATATGGAGATGTTTGTGGTGGATCATTTAATTGAAGACAGCGTTCAGCTGTAACTAAAAACAATGATTAAACTCTTCTCGGCTTTCTTCGTTTTTTAAACCAATAAATAAACTATTATTTTTAATGATAATTCTTCGATATCTCAAGTTCAAACTATAGGGAATGCGTCTAACCTGTGTTGGATGGAATTGCGCATCAATTGGGTTAACAAGTTCGTATTTAAAATCCGTTTTTCGGTGACGTTTTGATGCTTTCCTGTTGGAATTCAGACGAGATTTCTCGCTACGATGTCGTGGTTTCGTCTTAATCGTTTCGGTCGTGTTGCTTGTCGACCATAATAGCGAAAATAAATTTGAAAAAGGATTTGAACAGCTAAAAGAATTTCCAATCTCAGGTGGTGTATACAGAGGTTCCTTCAAAACTCCTGAAATCAGGGTCGAAAATCAAAATTCCAGAATACCAAATCCCCGAGTTCAATCTAGAGATTCTTTGCAAATATGTTCATCGCGTAGAGCAAACATTTCTGAAGAAAATGAGATGTCTCCCAGCTCTTTATGTAAATTTTGCAAAGCCTCCTCATAATTGTTATTTTTCAGATGAATCGAGCCAATATTATGATAGTCTCTTGCTGATGAAGAATGATTATTTGGACAAAAACTATTTGTAATTTCTAGTGCTTTGTTATTATACTTTAATGCTTCCTGATGATTACCAAGATGCGTGTAACATACGGCAGTATTATTATACATTAATTCAAGTGCATTGTAATTATTCGGAAAAAAATTGGTTAATAAATAATGAATATCATTAAAAATTATAATTGGATCAGTAGACTTGCCTTGTTTCATATAAATCGAGGCAATGTTATTACATACAACTGAAAGACCGTAATAATTTTTTGGTTTAGATTTATTACAAATTTCAGTTGATTTGTTGAAATATTTTAATGCTTCATCATTTTCATCTTGTTCAAATAATGACATGTCACTATCCATCTAGAACACCAGATATTTCTTGACTTTTTCTCTCCCTCCTATCCGCGTAGTGTCTCACGTAAGTAATCCCTCTCTCTATCTCGCTCTCTGAACAACCTTCCTATAAAGTTATTCTTCTCAAGAGGCATGTGTTTAGTATTAGAATGTCCAGTCCCATCCCTTAGTGTTCGAACTTGATAAACTACAAAGGAACGATTCCAGCACTTAACTTCATAAACACCTATTGAATAACGGTAAACTTCGCGTGAGTTACAAATAAAATTTCGGTTTACGCTGGGTAAGATCCCAGAGTCATGCGGAAAAAACTGACTCTTTACTTCTGCATTTCATTAATACAAATCACTACTACTATCCTTTCGGTGATATTCTGTGTCCTTGAAATCGTTCAGGTTCCGACGATAAATCGCTACAATGATTCTTGATAGAATCGTAGATAAAATCGGAAAAAATCGACGACTTTCAGATGACTTCATAAATCAATTAGAGATTATCAGAACTGGATGGTCTATGCGTTATTCTTTAGTTGAAATGCTAAGAAGTACTAAGAAAAAAATTACTTACTTTAAGCTTCAACTTCTATTATACTACTAGTTGGAAAAGGGACTTTTAATTAGATGTGTCTGCATGTACACTAGTAATTAGGTATGCACCAGTTTTTAACTGGTGTTGGGGCATCTGGGAGAATTGCTATACATCAGTTATCACGATTCGCTCAGTGCCATGAAATATCTCACTTCGTAGAAAAATGTTTACTCTACAAAATACATTCGCTCAAATCATTTCTAAGAAAACTTAGAGCGTTTAAAAATACATTAAATCACGGAAAAAAACTGTTCGAACAGGTTTTTTTCGTGATCTGGTGCATTTTAGAATGTTCTAAGTTTTCTTAGAAATGATTTGAGCGAATGTATTTTGTAGAGTAAACATTTTTCTACGAAATGAGATGTTTCATGGCACTGAGCGAATCGTGATAACTGATGTATAGCAATTCTCCCGGATACCCCAACACCAGTTAAAAACTGGTGCATACCTACTAGTAATAGTTAAATTGATCGATAGTCAAGATACAAATTCGTGAAGTTTTTCTAAAGTACTTGGTTGAGCACTTATCAAGCATTTTTATATTTAATACCTTCCAAGTTGTTGGAAGAACTTCTGATGCTTGCATATATTTCGCAAGTACTTACCAGGTTACATGCTAAATACTTGACGAAGTATTTATCTAGTACTTATACTTATTAAATTACTTGATAAGTACCTTTCTTGCTAGCAAAAAACTCCAGGTACTCTGGACATTACTTACCCAAGTACTTGTCTAAGTACTTAGTCTCAAGTACCTTCACTAGGGTCTATCTAGATACCTCAGACATCAAGCTTTTTGTTGGAAATGTCAGTTGCAACAAACGAAGAATTCTGTTTGAATTTTGATGTGAAAAAGCTCCATGTAACATTTGTATGAAACTTCACTTCGCATATACAGTATGAGGAGTGTAAGTTTGTAATAACGAAATCTGGTTAAAACCGAAAGCATTCAATCTTCCTTACATAGCATGCATTTTTAGGGTGCCATTGATGACAGTGCGTATTCATAGGACTGCTGGTGTTGATCTGATAAATGTTTTGAGCAATACTGACTCAATAATTTCGTTGCTAATTGAATCTGAGAAGAAAGTCACCTATATTAAGCTTAATGATGTTAAAATATTAGCTAGAGGCTATAGTCCTTCTCGACTGCTGTTAAAAGATTTCTAGCCAGTCGTACAAATACGCGACAATTTGACGGCGCCATAGATCAATACCATAGTATTTTTTCTCCAAGGGTTCTGTGTCTTTCAGCCATCGGCCTTTCCTGAAAAGAAAAAAGGAAAAGCCATGTTAATTAGTTGAATATATCTAAAAGAATAATTCTGCTGTCAAATATATTTTATATTTGGCTATAAATTTGTAGCCTTTATCCAGGTCAGATAATAATATTTCAAGGCTTATGTTAGTACAATTTTTTCTTCTTTTTTTTCTTTCTATTTAGATTTACAATCCTCCACGCAAAGATCAGAAAAGATCACATTACTACAATTACTTTTTATGAAGACTGTGCCGTTGAAGAATGGATAAGATATGTGACAGACTGCTCTGCAATAAACATTATTCTATACGTAGTCGTTTCGCATTTCTTCTTCTTGCTCAACGCTAACATATTTTAAGACCTTTAAAAGCCTTTTCAGCGCCCCTGGAAATATTTCAGAAAAAAAACTGCCTTTACGTTAAACAAACTACTTACATTATTCCACCTGCACTAAATATCAACTATTATACACTGTTTGGTAAGCAATTTCACCGGCTACAAAATGATATATAAGATAGCCCTAAGGAAATGTAACTAGGTAGTCTAAGATCTAAAATGCTCGGCAGCATTTCAGCAACCCAGTAGATCAGCATCCTTCATCTTTAAAATATCCATTGATCCTCAACTAATCTACGTCATATACCATTCGATAGACAATTTCACGGGTTTCAAAATAATATATAAGGTAGTCTTAAGAAAATGTAACTGAGTAGTCTAATCTGAAATACTCGGTAGCATCACAGCAAACCGGTACGTCGTTCATGTTTATAATATCCATTAATCTTCTCGTTAACCACTCTACATTATATATCATTCGACAGAGAATTTCACGAGCTTAACCCATTGCCCGCTGACGACATCATTGAATAGAACAAATTGGGCTACTGATATATCAGTGGACAGCGTACAATGTGTTCAAGCTGAACTATAAATAATTTTTCCAAAACATGTCCACATTAGCCAATAGTTGAAATACTTGGCGGATATAATGATTTAAAGTCAAATACAGAGATCTAGAAGGTTCTGAATTAGTCCAACGAATATGCTCAGATATACGTCGTTCATATGAACATGTTTCTCCAACATATATATCCCCCACAGATCTAAATAGAAAAAACGATTTACAATTTACTTTTGAATACGAAGTAGAACATAAGATAGCATTTTTGGATGTCAGTATTCAGATCAATCAAATAAGTGGAACAATAAGGACCAGTTGGTTTCGGAAACCAACGGCTAGTTCAAAAGCATTAAATTTTGATTCAGATCATAGCTATGCTATGAAGCAAAATATAGTTACTAATATGGTGAAAAGAATAACAATATGTAATAACAATAAAGAAAACGAAAGAGATATGTTAGAGTTGAAACAAATCT